ACTTTCCATCTTTTCAATATGTAACAGATGTGGGCATGGAAAGAGACGAGTCAAGGGATTGTTTTACATATTTTATTTGCTCTTGCAGAAGACTATATACATATATATACACACATATATATATATATATATATACACACACACATACATATACACACACACATTTATTTTTTCACTGCACCTCTGCTCCCTAAACAATGCAAAACACAATGTGATTTAATTATTTTTCTTAAAATACATACAGATACATTAACTTGACATGACAGTATGTACTCAGCTGGGGATGCCTATTAGTAGTCAAGCGCTATTAAAATTGACAGCAAAACATCTAACCTAAATCATAACAACAAATCTCAAAACCATGAAAAACAATATAAAGGAGAGACAGGGACACCTGGTGGGCAAAACAAAAAGGTGCGTGAGGATGGGCGCCTAAACGGAGACACGGGAAATGTTTTCAATTACAAATGTCATTTTCTACATACAAGTATATACATGATTTTTGCCTTGTGTTTTTTACCCATCCTGAGCATTATTAGGCGCAGTGGGAAACTGAGAAGCGACCAGGAAGCAACCTGGGGTTCAGTGTCTCTCTCAAAAACCGGGGTTCGATCCGCCAACCTCGATGCGTTATTATTCATAAGTGACATTTTAAAGTGGAATTACATTGGGCGCACACTTGTGACTACCAACTTGAAAGGCCGATGAGCTTCTGGTGGAAGCTCGGCTATAAGATCACAAATGTTCGGAGCCGGTTTGTAAACAATGCGAATGAGAATATTTCAAACCTGATTTAAGATCAGCATCATCTTTCAAAATACGCCAGTTTTACGTGACAATATCCTGAAATTCATCCCCAAAAAATGTCCTTTTCTTGTGGGACATTCACTTTGGCTGAAATTCTAGAATCTCTCTACAGCATTTTGGATCCAGGCTTTCTCATACTGTCTATCTCTAAATATATCAAACATGTCACCACAAAGTGTAAAGTACAACTCATCTGAGCTACAAGTGCAGCGTACTCTAGACTGTTTTTTGAGAGCAGTAGGAAGAAAACTTCTGCCATGTAATGTGTTCGTGTCTGTTGGTTTCTTCCTCAGATCTGCTGCCAATTTGTCTTCTTCTTTAATAATCTGAATGTCAAGAAAATTAATTTGTGACTGATCATTATTAACCATAAATTTAATAGCAGCACCTACTCGACCTCGTTGTGAAAATAAGACTCACAATCCACCAACCGTAGCGCTCTCCAAGAGGCTAATCCTGCTGCAGATAGCGACTAAAAGCTATCAGCGTTTTCTTTCTCTCCCGCCCACTGAAATAGGGAGACGTAAGCTAAATAAACAGTGAATTTGAACAAAATAGTAGCCTTATGTATGACGGTATATACTGTCGTGTTAGGCTGCATTGTGTTAAAAAAGTCCACAGTTCCAGAATCTGCACTAAGCAACTTTCTAGTCATCACATTAGATTGTTTCTCCCGTGTGGATTGTCATGTGGTGTGTCAGATTGACCTTTAGTAGAGAACCTTCATCGCAAACAGAACTAAAGGGAGTTCCCGCTCATGTGAGTTATCATGTGTGCCTTCAGGCTTGACTTGCGTACAAATCTTTTATCACAAACCGAGCATTTGAAAGGTTTTTCTCCTGTGTGGATTCTCATGTGTGCCTGTAAACACCCTTTCTGTGCAAAAGCATTGTTACAGACCGAGCAGCTGAAAGGCTTTTCACCTGTATGAATCCTCATGTGTCTCTTCAGGTCTCCACTTTCAATGAAACCTTTGCTACACACCGAGCAGCTGAAAGGTTTTTCTCCTGTGTGGATTCTCATGTGTTTCTGTACACTTCTACTATGTGTGAAAGATTTCTTACAAACGGAGCAGCTGTATGGTTTCTCTCCTCCATGTGTTATCATGTGTCTTTTCAGATGTCCACTTTCAGTGAAATCTTTACCACACACTAAGCAGCTGAAAGGTTTCTCTCCTGTGTGAGTTGTCATGTGTTTCTGTAAACTTCCATTCTGAGTAAAAGATTTCTTACAGACTGAGCAGCTGAAAGGTTTTTCTCCTGTATGAATCCTCATGTGCCTCTTCAGATCTCCACTTTCAATGAAACCTTTCTCACACACCGGGCAGCTGAACGGTCTCTCTCCTGTGTGGATTCTCATGTGTTTCTGTACACTTCTACTATGTGTAAAAGATTTCTTACAAACTGAACAGCTGAAAGGTTTTTCTCCCGTATGACTTCTCATGTGTATCTTCAGATTTCCCCTGAAGCCAAATAATTTCCCGCACTCAGAGCATCTAAAAAGTTTCTCACCAGTACTACATGTAAATTCACTGACAGTGACTTCATCATTATTCACAGAGTTTAAACCTGACTGAGGTTCTCTGGTCTCTGTCCAATCACCACTGTGTTCAGTCTCAGGTTCAGAAGAGTCTCCAGACTTGTCAACAGTATCTGGTCCTGGATGTCTATCTGGATCTGAGTTCCTGGCTGAATCTAGTCCTTCACAGTCCTCTCCATCAGCTTCTGTTTCCATCTGTTCAGTTTGTCTTTGATGAAACTTTGAGGAATGAGCTTCCTCTTCATCATCATCTTCACTCTTCACAGTGAATGAAGTGAATGGAAACTTGATATCAGCCTCCTCCAGACCTTGGAGCTGCTCTCCCTCCTGACTGGTCCAGAGTTCCTCCTGTTCCTCTTTAATGTGTGGGGGCTCTGGGTCCTCCTGGTCCAGACTGGAGCTCCACTCCTGCTGCTCTTCTTTAACCACCAACAGCTGCTGGACGTCTGCAGGAAAACAGTAAACATACAAACGTTATAGAGAATTGTTGTTCAGCTCAAAAACTGTTAATGAACTTCGAAAGAAACCTGATCAGGTCTCTGTACAATAGCTGTAAGTACTGTACCTGCAATATCACAATGCCGTAGTTCTGCATTGTAGCTTCTAGAAGATTTAATAATGAATAAATATCAAAATATGTAATGAAGGTTAATAAATCAAAATTGTGAATCATAAACCCATGAATTGGTGTAAAAGGTGAATGAGATTGATGACACAATCAGTATAAATAACATAAATTAATATTAGATCAAATTTAGGAGGCCACACAATTTTGAAAAAACTTATTGGCATGTGTACGGTGACTAATTATTTCATAACACACAAGTTACCTCAGTGGTTCTCAAACTTTTTCTGTCACGCCCCACTTTGGAGGAAGAAAAATGTTCATGCCCCACCACCCCAACGAAATTGTAACAAAATGGTCCATGTTGAACTTTTATTGAAATAACATTTTGTGACTCCTCCATCTGTGCTTTTTCAAATAATAGAATAAAGAAAATTGCAATCACTTTCAAGTAAATCAGATCACTCCATCAGACAAAAACAAATAAAATGCAAATGCAACCTGTGCAAAACTAAACAAAATTAATGCAGATATGTGTGAGCCATATGATCACACATATCAGGAGCATTTTATTTTAAATATGAGCTTTAAAATGTAGCATTCTAAAAGTAAAATAGCTGTGATTTAACTGCACGTGGGACTGTTGGGCCTGTTGGTCCACTGGCTGTGGTCATCACAG